GTACGTTTTTATCCGAGAAGTAAAATTCGATGTTCTAAAAAAAAAAGGACCTGTCGTTTTTTCGATAGTAAATGATAAGCTACTTTCTATAATAAATATGAAAAAACATTTATATTTTTACTGATTCACTTTATGGAAGTAAATAAATTAATATCTCGTAATATATAAACGGAAAGAACATTCTGATTAACAATCTTTTCAATGTTTAGAAAACCTTTAATTCCAAATAACTACTCCCACCCCAATCCCAATACACCAACACTTAAACTTATATGTATAGAGCAGCCCGGTAGAGCAGAGCAAACACGGACCTCCTAAACATCAGAGGTGGGATCAGGCGCCTAAATGTTGGAATACATCTCATCTTTGGAGTATGGAGTTTAACTTAATTGAATTTAAAGATATTACTCAAAATATACTATAGAACGGACTTTTAACTCTTTCTATTCTATATTTGAATACACTCCTTCTATTCTATATTTGAATACACAGGAAATGTAAAAAAAAAATTAACATATAGTGATGTTAGTACTTTCGAGGTTGTTTTCCAACCCCTGACGGAAAGAAAAGCGGGGGAGGGAACAAGACTGACCTTGTTTACATTCGCAATGCTGATAGATGAAACACACCCTTTAAGCTTGGTTTAATGGTGGCTTATAGGTCCTTAATGGTGGTTTAATGGTTGTCTTTAAGTCACCATTAAGCGCCTTTAGGTAACATTTACACCACCATTAAGTTACCATTAAGCCATCTAAAAGTACTTAATGAGTGATTAAATGTAGCTTAATGGTAGCTTAATGGTGGCTTACAGGTCCTTAATGGTAACTTTTAGACCACCATTAAGTCACCATTAAGCTACCATTAAGCTAGACTTACAGGTGCTTAATGTCCAAACTCCTTTAAGCTACCATTAAGATACCATTTAGCCACCATTACGCAGTCGATATTACTGTTTTAATGGGTAAAAAATTATTATTATAGTGATTTGTCATCACAAATTATAAATGTCGAGTTTACACATATCTTAATTTGGTAACAATAAGTAAAAGAACGAAATTCAAAATAAAAAAATTAAAAAAACACCACACACTGGGCGCGAACTCATGACCCTTCGAATAGATGGCAGTCACCTTAAAGGCCGGTAGTGACCTAGAAAATTTTACACCCCGACGCCAATTAAGCATATATGGCAAGGAGGCATGGCTCACTCCTCTGCAGTTTAAATTTAGAAATGTTATCAGTCACACAAACATTACCACATGCTACAATCTACACGTGCACTCTAGCAGACGATATTCTTTCTTTCGGTGTAAAAGAATCACTTTGTTTAGAGGGCTTATAATATTAATTTATTAAATAATCCTGAATAAAAAAAAATAGTTGAATTTACAAGATTTTGTTTATATTTATTATTATTATCTGTTTCACTGTGTGTTTTATAAATTACTTAATTGAATACATTTACATGATTTATGATTCAACTCTACGTGAAAAGTGCAGATATTTGTCTCTTCCAGATGTTGTCTCTGTTGCTTAATGTAGGGGCTTTGTAGATCTTTTTTTCTACTTCTTGGGGCATTTGCTCTGGGTGGATTCCATACCGAGGTAAACTCTTGGTCCACATTTTCATTCCAATGACAGACTGCTAAATTTGAACGCGCTCTGTATCCCTTATCACTAAATGCAATTCTTTTGTCCTGAAACATGTTCATAGTATTGTTGAAACTTTCTACATAATAAGTATCCTTTGCAAGTGCATAATCCTGTGGATATTTATATAAATTTGAACTAGTTATTACACCACGTAACAATTTTTCAGACACTTTATCACAGAGTACAAGTCTTGATGGCTCATAATTTGTATCTGTTTTGCACCGTGATGTAGGATGACAATCAGAATGATTTCCTTTATATTGTTTAATGGTATTCAAAAGGAGAGCTTGTAATTTTTGGGGATTCTGATCGCAGTTTCTTATTGCCCAGTGGCAGTGAGTGGCATCTGGCTCAACTTTATCATATAGATATTCAGACCAAGTTTTCCCCTTCTGATATGCTGGTCCAGTTGAAATTTTTTTCATTTTCTCTTTAATACTTTTAACTCCATGCCAGGTATCATTTTGATTCGTTGTTCCTCCTAATTCTCGAACAAATTTTTTGATAGAGATATTTCGATCATGGATATGGACATCAACTGAAACACCTTGCTCATCAAGATAGTTGTAAATTCTCTCTGTTCCAATTTTCTCGTGTCTTTGAGATACTGGATCGTCCACTTTGGTGACATGTTCACACTTTATTACTTGGTGTGTTTTCTCTCCTAATGCCACAACACTCGAGTCTTTGGCATTTTTTCGCCATCCATGACGAGCATCTGTCATTATATTAATTCCATCATCATCGCTGCATCCTACTTCTCCCCTTAGCGCCATGTTAATACTGTCTTCATATTCTGATTCAATAAATGGATATATGTTCTGTAGGAATTTGTCGCGATTACTTTGGTAAATGGAACCAATTTTAGCTCCTTTTGAAAATCTGACGTAATGAACAGGCAACATTCAACTACAAGCAAATCCATGAATAACTCTTTTATTCACCAAATATTCATTATTTGGCAGGTATGGTGATGAAGACCACAAAATGCTATGATGTTTTTGAATTTTACAATTAAATCTTGCTGCAGCAACATGTCCCTTTTCGGTGATCTTTTTTAACGTAAGATCACCATTACAAAATTTGGAATGATTTTCCACCACTTTTACTAAACATCTTAGTGATGATTCTGCAGTAAGAAAGATTTTCTGGTTTGAATCCTTTTCCTGTGCCTGAATGTATGTGTTCAAGTCCAAGGTTTCCATAGTCACATTTGCTTCTCCATCTTCTCTGTCATATTTCTCCAAGAATGTTTTCAAAACCTTTTCTAGGATCTCTGCGTTATTTACAGGATGATTCAGTTGTCTCACTAAAATATCTCTTGCTTTATGAAGAAGAGAAAGTATTTCATTTTTTTGTTGGTCATCTCAAGAAATTGATATTTTAAATGAAGGTGGAAGCTTTTTGGTTGTAGAATCCATATTTTATAATCAGTAATAATTCAGAAACTTTAGAGATCATTGAATGCTAGCAATATAAGCCCAACTTCAATTGGTGATAGGGGATTACAAGTTGAAAAAATTCTATGATTTTTGTAGTTTACTATAAATGCTAATTCACTGAAAAACAGGTCAAATAAAGTTCAATGAATTCAAAGAATTTGATATCAAATTATGATTAAAATTCTTAATAAGTAACTTTTAATATTTGGAAAATTTGAAACCCCCTACCAAAGAAAATGAAACATCCTGCTGCTGAAAAAAAGAGTTTGCAATTTGAGCTCTGAACCCAAGTGACATTTTATGGAGCTAAGTTTGGTAGGAACAATTGGGGTAATATAATTCTACCTGGATAAAAAGTGATATTTGTTATAATGGAATTGAGTGATGATCAGTTAGAAAATATAAGAGGTGTTTCAATCACTTTGATTGGGATTTTGATTTAGCAGTAATTTCAGGTAGTAACTCTTTAGTAAATGCAGAGATCAGATTGATTCACCAGAACATGAGGACCAAACAAATGAAAATGATGATTTCATAAATGAACCTTTCAGAATTCAACAGGATCCTAATAGTTCAGAGTGTATATATTGTTTCTGTAGACCTTGTATTACTGATGAAGTAAATAGGCAGATGTGGTGGGAAACTGACCCTCAACCAAAACATAGAAGAAATAAAACTTTGCGTAAAGAAAAGTACAAAAGATTTTGGACTATGATGTATCATAGAGATATCTGGGATCATCCTCGATATGCTGAGAAAAAAAGAAGGGCATTAGAACAAGACCCAAGGTTCAGAAATTTAGTGTGGCATCGCAGAGATATAATGCCAGATTGCGTAATAAAATGTGTGTGGGGCTGGTTTCCCAATCCTGACAACATTCCATACGTGGGCCACCTGTGGGAGTAATATTTCTGAAGTTCAATGTGATGATTTGGGAATGTTTTCCCGCAATTTTTCTACCAATGTGCTCTGCCCGCGAGGCACAGAGAGGGTCTTTTTAATCACGTTAACAATAACTCTCTCTATAAACAGGGGCATAGTATCCGGGGGGCCAGGGGGGGGGGGGCCCCCACTTTTTTTTTACCAACCTAACTTACACTATAGGAAATGTTAATTGAAAACCTGGTTGGCCCCCCCCCCCACATTAAGAAATGTACCGAAAATATAGTATAAGAATTGGTACTAAAAGTAGTTGACACTGAGAAAAAGTTTACTATAGGTCAGAGACCAGAAGAGCTTATGCGATAGTAATGCGTCCGGCGTCCGTCCGTCTGTCTGTCTGTCTGTAAACAATTTTTCAAAATGCTACTCCTCCTACAGTTTTGATCTGATTTCAATATAACTTGGCATATAAGTAGACTACACTAAGATACATGATTCTTTATATCGGTTTTTGATTTCGACGAACGGTGTTGGAGTTGTTACTAAAAATAGAAATTTCTGTGAAATTCTTTCAAAATGCAACTCCTCTTAAAGTTTTGGTCTGATTTTAATATATTTTATTGATACTTTAAATGATTAAAATATACATGTATAAGTACACATCCGAAGGACCGATATGGATCACCTCTTGCAGTGGGATTCAAACCCACAACTTAAGAATTAACTCCTTTCTCCGCGATTCAAGAGCAAACACTCTTTAACCATTGATTTTGGGTAGTTCTAGTAGTGAACAAGTCTCAAAGGAAATATTTCTCTGGCATTGAGAGGAGATATGCTATTTTTAATTATGATATTTTATCACTGTTTCAGTAGATTATGCATTTGATATGTCAAATAAAAATCCAACTTTATCACTTTAAATGTTCCAACCTTTAATCAAACGCATGATTTATTTTTGTTTTTGTTTTGTTTTGTTTGGGGTTTTTTTGGTATGAATTTTATCATTTTGTTTTCATTTAATAGATAACTTAGCATTTGGAAGAAATGTGACTGGCTATCAAGACTTATATGTGGGCAAACCCCTCCAAATATCTGGGAATTTGACCGACGGAGATAGAACTGGTACATGTGAACATTTTAGTGGGGATTATTTTGAATTTCATATCAACCTTCAAAAAATGTACACCATTAAATCGTCGAGACTTATATTCAAAGGTATATATTTCAGTATCGTGTATTTATACATGAAAGAGAAAGTTGCAGCTGCAATGTGCATGAATGTACAATTCTGGAAGTGTATTCATAATTCAGATTGATGTATTTATATTTTACTCTTACATTAATTAAAAGAAATGGTTTTGTATTAAAAAAAAAAACGGAATTTATAATTGCAATAAAATTAACCCTGGCTACAAATGAGTTTTCGGTTAAATATGAATACTTTAATATGAGTTTTTCTATAAATGAAGGAAATTTTACAACGAATGGAGCAAATATTTTTTGTTACGATGACACTCGTACTTGGCCTTACTACGAACTTGGCAGCTACAGAAGGGAAAATCCACAAACAGTTAAGTTTGAAGCTCAACGAACTGGAACGACGATTTATTTTTATGTATGGGTGCCATCTAGCAATACAATTGAAATCGAATTATGTGAAATAGAAATGTATGGTGAGTAACAAATATTATTTATTGCTTAACTTCAAGAAAATATCTTATTAGATTTTCTAATATCTTATGTCTTGTTTTTGCTTTGTTCAATGAAAAATACAACTGTTTTTCTTTTTTGAAACCTTTGTCCAGGATGTGAGGTTGACCACTATGGTGACGATTGTCTGCCCTGTAATAAGTCTGATAATTGTAAAGTTTGTGATGTTAACAATGGAGCATGTTATGTCTGTAAAAAAGGGTACACTGGATCCAACTGTAGCAGAAGTATGTTCCTACGTATTTTTCTACTTAGTGTTAAACTATGTTGTATAAATTAAATAGACACTGTTTTTTTTTTCGAGAGAATTAGGGCTAAAGCTGCTGTTATGGATTAGGCTTACCTGAAAATGAAAACAAAAGCAACTTCTAGTGAACATAATTATAAATATGACCTTTTCTTGGATGTTGTCGGGAGGGGATTGATAATCTTGTTGACAAGTGTATTAATGGAAAATATTAAACCTAAAATCCAGAAACTTCAGATTAAAGATTGTTACTTTTCCTAACTATTAGAAATGAAATTGAATTTTTTTTCCATTGCATGCTAAGATGTGTCAATCAAAGCCATCCAAAAGATTTTTAATATATTTCGTGTGAAATGCTATTACAAAATATAACTCGTAATATTATACAGAAAATAATCACTTCAAATATGTGTATATGCACCATTAAAGGTGATTTAAAAAAAAATATTGATTTATTTTACATTTATCAATCTAAATTGCTTAATTTTTTGTTATTACGTCAAACGCGCCCGACGCTATTCTATCAAAAATGCCTGACGTCGATTTCACTTTACCGTGAAAAAAAGGTACATTAATTTCCAAATAAAAGGCACAAATATACGATGTTCAGTTATTTTCCGGGATGCATGATCGAAGGAGAGTTTAAATTTAGATGATTCGTCAAACCGAAAGTACAACAAAGATGGCATGGAAGATAGACCAATCCACACTTTTCAAAAGTTATGTCCCTTGGCCGCCATCTTAGGGGATAAACCCATACAATCCACACAGTAGCCTTTGTAGTTTTCAGGTTTGTAACTTCGTCATTTGACTTTAAAAAAGCTCTGCCTTTTGTGTACTGATTGCCCCAAGATGGGGCTACCCACACATTGAAAGAAAAAAAATTAAACACAATGGAATTTTCACAACACGCCCAAATATTTGGTAGCATAAAGAGGAGAAATGACATTTCTTTCCCTTTTGACTTTTTGGTTGACCCCGCAAAGGGAAACAACTTTTGCAAAGTGTGGATTGGACTATTGTGTCGAGTACAAGATAACTGAAAGACTTCGACAATCGGGTCGTTTTTTGTCTCTGTAAGTTGAAGAAATACAGAGTAACTAATAAATGGTTCTCTTGTCGAAAGTCATTATTGTTTGCTTATATGTTTGTACATAGGCCTAGTACATAACTATTTCCGAACCACGTACGGCTCAAGTATTCAGGTACCTAACTACTTTGCTTCAATTTTCCGATTTTTAAATGTCGTTTTTCTCTTCTCGATTGTTTGAGTTAAAATATCGTCCTCTTGGGATTGACTCGGGATTTGGAAAAAAATCATGGAAAACTTTTTATTTACAATGTATATATCATACATAAAACAGTTACTGCACAAATATAAATGTTCTCTTATTTGGTATATCCTTGCACTGAAACAGAATAATTATTGATAAAAAAAAAAACCCAGAATATTTCCTTTAAGTAGGAAAGAACATTGATACATTGACAAAAAAATTCCTTAATACATATGCTGAAAATTTAGAAAAATTTGTTTTAAAGCTAGTAACCTTTAGCTACCATTTGTACCTTTGGGTAGTGTATTGGTGCACCTGTCATAAGAGTGACAGGTGTCCTGGGTTTGATTCTCTGGAAGTTGAAAAAATACAGAGTAACAATTAAATGGTTCTCTTGTCGAAAGTCATTATTGTTTGCTTATATGCTTGTACATAGTACATAACCATTTTCGAACCTTTTGGGCCTCTTCACTTGTTATAATATGTTTGCTAAAGCCAATTTCCAAATTGATGATAAAATTACATATTTGTCATTTAAGGTATATATAATATGTATAATAAATGAGAAAAACATATGTCTAACAGACGCAGGGGTCTATATCGGAATGGGAAGGGGATATTTCTGTCTTCAAGCACCCCTGAATAGTATAGCGATAGATATCAGTAGCTAATAAGATAATGTGGATCCCCAGTGTACTTTTCTATAGATCACAATTTTATGCATTACCATGATTACTGTAATGATGGTTAGACTAAAACCCACAAATAACAATAAGACAGTAACAAAGAAGGGAATACATGTATAAGATGATAAATAGGAATGCCTATGAGATCATTGAGGGTTGATATAAAAAGGAATAAGGAAAAGGATAAAATTTCAATCAGACAATTCACAAACTCAACTCTGTTTGTTAAGCCGAGTGCTTACAGTGTTATAATTATATATTAAATCTGGTTGTTCGTGCATGGTTTAATCATGCATTAATCAATAAAAACAAAGTTAACCAGTTTCAATTTAGATTTTATGGATTTATGTCAAGATTGTAGCTTTTTATTTGAATGAAAAATTATTAAGACTGTCTCATAAAAGTTATGACAGTGTTTTGTTTTTCAAAAACAAAACAATTTTTCAACATACAGAATTTATTTGCATAATTACCTTGACCCTTTGATCACAAAATCAATAAGGGTCTCCCTCGAGCCATAGAGAGTTGCTGTGTAAAATTTCAATGCAAAAGTTCAAAGGCTTCTTGAAAGTGTTACAGACAGAAAGACACATAGGCAGATGCACAGACCTTAATTTAGTATCCCCACTTTCAGTGAAAGGGGAGAGAATTATATCTGTTTTTTTGTTGATGTTAAACTTGGTTTATCAAGATACTTGTTAAAATAAAAAAATAGCATAACTTTTCCAGTGATTATTCAGTTCTTTCTTTTCCTACATAAATAGTTTTTGATATCATATTGAGCTTAATAATATATACAGCTACATATTTATCTATTTTAACATCAATATGCACTAAGCAACACAGTTCCAATAAAGTGCCGCGCCACAGCAAGATACGCCCATCAAAAAAATACAATTTTCTTGAACAGTTTAGCATGCAAGAAAATCACGTCAACCTTTATTCTAATTAAGATTTCCATGATTTTTCCATTCCTTCAAATATTTATCCATTCCCTGTGATGTAGGCATTAATTATAATAAATATTACATCATTAATAGATTTCTATGCTGGTTGTGTTAGACCTTGTCAAATGCCCATCATATTAAACAATATCAAATTAGTCTTAACATCTTAATCTATACCAAATTAATTTGAAAAGAAAAGGCCGGCCATCAAATGACATATGCTATAAACTGACCAGCACTTCTTCTGTTTAATCCCCAAAGGATACAGATAAGACTGCTGATTGAGACAGTAGCCTTCCTACATTGAACTCATTAATTAATCTTTAAATGGATGCTTGTCTACTCATTACTACAAAGAGATGAATGGGTCTGCACTATCTACCATAAATTTTTCTTAAACATATAAAATATTCCAAGATTTTTTTGGTTGAGATTTAATGTCAGACAAGTTTTAATATGTAATTCATATGGACATGCTGATTCCACCCCACCCCTTAAAATTAGTTTTTAAATTAATAATACATGTATTATATAATATCAGGTTAGTTTTTTATGCAATATCAAATTAGTTTTAATTACATCTCATCGAATTCATTTTGAAACTTAGGCTAGCCAACAAGAGCAATTTTTAATCCAACAGGCTTACCCATGTGGCCCAATACTCAAGGGATATAGATAACACTGATGCTCTATCAGTTAGATCCTCACACTCAAAACTCATTAATTTCTCTCTAATTTGACTTGAAATTTTCTGTTATCAAAATTCTTCTTGACCAGTGCTTGATAATTACACTCAAGGGAGATGTAGAATTTCTCTAACATACATTATATTTGTTATAGATTGCTGTCAAGTACTTATAATGATGTTCATCAGCTCAGAAAATTACAGGTTCGAGAATCTGTGTCAAAACTCATGGAACAAATGCTCACTGGATCCATATCAAAATATCACTTTAACATAGAACCTTCTATTTACTCAGGGAGCTGTTGACTTTTAAAGCATCATACCAATGATTTTTCATACCAATTTTGCATAGATCAGTTTTTCCAAGGAGGGGACCTGTTGTCCAAGGTCACTTTTAGTACAATTCACTGTTATCTTTGGACTTTCAGTAAGGCGGGATATTCTTGATGTTATATAATTAGCCTCTAAAATTTACACAGCTTTCATTAATTGTTGAAATATATGTTTCTGGGATAGAAATTCAGGAGATATAAGAAAGAAAGATTACCGGTAAGTGATGTTATTAATTTTTTAACCAATGAAAATCTATTCATTTAATAAATCTGCAATGTTCATGGGAACACATACACTCACCACTAGATCCGCCACGAAAATTTCAATCAAGAAGCATCCTATAGAAATTATACTATGGAAACGAAAAAAAATTATAAGTGCTGACAAAAATTATTTTGCAAGGGTGATTTTGACAGCATGGTCAGAGTACATAAAACAAATATTTTTTTTTTATTGTTTGACTTACTTAACCCTTTTAATTATGAACTCTTTCAGATATTAATTTATCAACCCTTATTGATTTTAAAGATACTTAAATTACTCAAACCTGTCACCATTGAACGTGTTCATATTTGACCAATTAAATGACATTGCTTTAGTAATGATGCTCTCGATGCTATTCTAGTCATCAACTATGGAGATTGAATTTATTAAACGAATTTGAGTTATGTACGGAAAACCTCGATCATTCAGAGTCCCTAGCTTAAGAAAGGGATCTCTGCCTTCCAAGGATATGATCGCCTATAAGCACGGTATTTTAAACAAACAAACATTACAAAGTGGAATTACTGAACATATTCATCTCCGCGTACATTAATTTTATCTACTTTTATATGGTATATGGATAAAAACATAATAAACAACGTTGCACCTTACTAAGACAGGCCCGAGCATTTACTGAGATCAGAAACCAGACGTTAATAAGATGTGGCAATCAAACCACTTATTTGTATCTATGAATAGCGAAAAATGTATTACATAGACACAAAAAGTAGTAAAACGTGCCACTTCTCTAAATTTTTAATCAAATAAATCGCATCCAAACGACCAATGTT